TCAGAAGTAATCATGCCCGATCTGACGGAAGCCTGGAAGTGAGTGCGCGAGGTGGTTATAAAAGGCTCCTACCCCCCAGGAACGAGGTATGCTAACTTTGCGCTATCTAGTATATTTTGCCTTTGAAGGATTCTAACTTGAGATTCGGAGCCCTTACGYCGGGTTCTCCCCGGATCTTTTCTTCTCCTTCCGTTTCAGGTCCCTGTTACTCAGTTCAGAGACAAGATGACAGGTAAGACCGGTTGCATCATCACACTCTCCCTAAATCTAATCAAAATCAGAGATTCTATCAACCGTTTCATCTTGTGGATAGGAAATCGAAGAAATGCTGGGCCTTTTGCAACTAAATCTTCCATCATCTGCTCCTCTTCTTTAGCTTTGGTTCGACCGAGGAGTCGAATCAGAATGTGTCGTAAGGCACAGAGCTTCAAGAGAAAGCGTATTCACCGAGCCAGTACGGAAGAGAAAATGAAGAGAAGGTTTTCAATTAGTGAAGTTTTAATCCGGAACAAAGACGGGGAGGAACTCGAGAGGAAGGACCTTGAGGCAGAGGCAGCAGCGGCTTTGAAGGCTTGTCGCCCAAACTCAGCTCTCACTGTGCGAGAAGTTCAAGAAGATGCTCACCGGATTATCGACAGTGGGTACTTTTTCTCCTGCATGCCTGCCGCAGTTGATACCAGAGATGGGATTCGGTTGATTTTTCAGGTACGTTTTGTTTAATTCTCTTTTTTCTTTCCTTTTTCTTTTTCTTTTTCTTTAGGTATGCCAGAACATTACATAAAGAAACAAGGTGGGACTTGGGATCTTCTAGAAAAGAAAGAGTGCTGTAAATTTCGTTGCAGGGCCTTTTATCAATTAAGAAGTATTTGGTTGCAATAAAGGAAAAAGTGTTAGTCGAGTTCCCAAAATATTGTGCTATGATGATTACATGGTCGTAACCCCTCATCGATGCAGTGTGACTTATAGAATTATTGTTGGAAGTAGCAGCTAGATGTTAATTTGAGTTTTCAGGGATATGTATGATGCCTTCTGCTGTAAGCATGTTGAATTCTTTTCTGAATAGAATTCCGTGACGATGAACTGCAAGGGATTGGTTTTACTTTCACTGTTATAGTTTGGTGGGCAAAACGAACTTCTGTAACCACATTTTTCTTATTTGGTTTAGCATGGTATAAGCATCTGAAGTTCTGAACTGGTTTTCCGTGATACAAGGTAGAACCGAACCAGGAGTTCCAAAGGTTAATATGCGAAGGAGCCAGTGCTCTTTCCTTGAAGTTTCTGGAAGATGCATTCCATGATGGATATGGTAGGTTTCTTTTTTAATGGTTCTGAGCTATATACAGATTATATTTTCATTCTTTGTTTTACTCTTTTATCTGGCCATGCATCAAGAAATGCTCACAACATGCCTAATCTTTTTGGCATCGAGCTATGCAGGAAAAGTGATCAATATCTGGAGTTTGGATGAAGTGATAAGCTCCATTAATGGGTAGTACATGGAGCGAAGTCTACTTGGCATGGTTGGTGCTTCATCTGTACACGATTGTTTTGTTAATTTTAACATGCATTTCTTTTTTGATGGTTATCACTGGTTTCAGATGTTGAAATTCTCTCTGGTGGGATCATCAGGTTTCAAGTTTCAGAAGCTGAGGTCAACGATATCATCATAGAGTTCCTTGATAGGAGGGTCTGAGAACTTGTCTTTGGTGTTTAGTGTTTACTGAATAAAAGCTGAAAACTATTTAAGTTGCATTTTTATGGCTAATAGACTGCCTCATGATATCTTCAGTGGTGAGTTGATTACTGCAAAGACAAAGCCAGAAACTATACTTCAGCAACTGACCGCAAAGAAGGAAAATGTTCATCAATTTGGTAACTTGTGGTTGACTACTTGTGTAGGGAGGAACATTACTTGTTCTTAGGAATTAAGATACAAGGAACATTGCCTTAAAAAAGATGTCTATTTTTCTTCTAGTAAAGTTTATTCTAATTGTGAACTTCATTAATTCTTGAAGGTACTTATCATAATTGTTTAATTTTATGTTTGAAAGATAGATTGTTATGAACTAAGTCCATATGCTCTTTCTTTTTTTTTACTTTTTCATGTTGTTTTGCTTTTATGAAAAACATGTATTACACCATGAAGAAAGCGAAGATCATTAGATTGAATCATTGAAGTGTGTTAAACTTTTTAATCCAATATCTTTCTTGCTTGCCACAAGTTCATTGTTAGTTTGGCTAGCATTCCTTGATTGTGGAGTATTGACCTCCATCTTCCGATCTTTTTTCCCATTAAACCTGAAATTGAGAGCTATGCAATTTTTTTTGTTAATAAGAAATGAAAAAAACTAATATCATTATTATTCACAAGAAGTGAAATAAAGTGTTTAGATACAGTGCTCCATGCTCCAATGTTTAAAGCAAGGGCTGTTGATCCAATATAATCATCATCATTATCTAGGCCTTGTTCCAGCTATATGAGGTTGGCTACATGAATCCTATTTTTCCATTCTATTCTGTTCAGTGCAATATCCATTGTTAAATTATGAGCACATAAATCATTTCTTACTACTTAAACCCACACCCATTTTCGTCTGCTCCTAGCTCTTCTAGCTTCTTCAACCTGTAACAAATCACTTATTGTTATGAGTGCTGTAGATGGTCTTCTATGCACTTCACCAAACCATCTAAGTCTACTTTTTCTCATTTTAGAACCTATTGGAGATACTCCTAGTTTTTCCACTCATCCATGCGTTCACAATTGTGCCACTCATTTTTTGAACATATTGTATACTTGGTACTTGTTGAAACCTTTGCTCAATTATTCTATTCCAAGGTTTAAAATGTCRATGTCAATGGAAATGTCGCTTACCAAAATATAGGACATATGTTGAAAATGTCGAGGGGAAATATTGTAAAAATTAGAGACATTGTTGAAATATTATGAAATATGTGGAAATATGCAATGATATTTTGTAAAATGATAAAAGAAGCATTAATACATATTTCTAGACTATTATCTTATTCCCAACCATTATATAAAGCTNACCATTATATAAAGCTAAGAAACTAAGATCAATAACAAATTAGTAAATGACGATTTACTGATTTATTATGCATTTTGATGTTTTCACAAGGTTATTTGATATTTTCTTTTGTTATTTTTAATTCTGATTTATTATAAATTCTAATATATTTATTTCACACTAGTAAATAGAAATACATTTATTCTGATTTYTTAAACATTAAAGTTATAATACATTATGTTTTATTATAAATTTAATAAACTAATTCTCCTTTTTGTAGTATTAACTATTAAGATTATGATAAATTCTGAWTTCTTATAAGACTTAATGAATTTCCCTAAGTAGTAATAGTAGTAGGGCCCTAAACATCAGAGTGAACAACTTGAAAAGGAAACTCAGCCATTTTATTACCTAATGGAAAACTTGTTCTACAATGTTTGCTTAAGGACAAGTAGGACATTGAAAAGAGAACTCAGAAACAGAATTAAATAATTCAGGGAACAAGACTATGAAGAAGAAAAAGACATATGGCCCAAACGGTAATGCCATAGTAAAATCTAGGCTTTATTACAAGGACTCTTAGACTGTCTCACAAGATTTGTTGTATTATTCGCCTTTAAACCAGAAACATCCTCCAGAGTGTAGAGACCAACAACATGCCTCTTTCCAATCATTCTTCCAAAAGTCAAATCCTAGAAACACAAGAATTAGAAAAAAAAAGGTCACACCACAATTCAAAGATTGGGTAATACAACTAGCAGATAAAAGATTTATGGGGAATTTCGAAACATGATGAAATGAGTTCAAGTTAACACCATTCGGTAGGGAAACAATTCCATGGCCAATGGTGGTGTGAGAATCATTTACTAATCTCACTCTATCTCTACCAGAAAGCAAAATGGTAAGCTGAAAAAAGGTTTGGCTTATTGGTCATGTGAGCCCCAAAATCAATGATCCAAGGGGATGAGGATAAAGTGGACACATTGAATGCAACAACCTGGTTACCTGAGGTTGATACATGTGAGGTAGGAGTGATAAAGATTTCCTCAAGATGATGWAGTGTCCTACCATATTCTTCCAACCGATCATGTGAGGCATTCAACATTCTCTCCTTGGAGTTGGAACCATGGAGTTATTCTACTGCAATGARCCACAAGACACTACATTGGTTGAATTAGTTTTCTTCCCAAGCTGCTGTTGGTTCTGGAAATTCTGGAAATTCTAGAAATTCTTCAGCTTGCCAAGGAGATACTAAGGTCTCTTTGGTGTGTCAAGAGATTCAAGTCCTATCACAATGAGACTATCTCAGCTTACCCTTCTTCATCATATAACCACCTTTCTTACCATTACCATGACTCTACTTAGCCAAGGAGCAAGAGAACACCCCCCCCCCCCTTCATGCCAACCCTCTTGCTCTTCTCAGACTGAACAAGAAAGTACACATCCTGAATGGATGTGAGCTTCTTACTGCTTAATATCTGAACATGAATRGGCTAGTAATTAGGATTAGGACCCACAAGAAAGGCAAATATCCATTGCTGATGTTTTTTCTGTAGTCCCTAGCTTCCAACTCATCTCTCTAGGCAATGGTCTAATAATGGTCAAGTTCTTTCCACATCGAGGTGAGGGTAAAATAATATGAAGATAGCCTTTTCTCCCCTTCAACCTGAAGTTCATACAATGAGCATAATGTCTTTGTGCAGAAAAAAGTAGCCTGAGTTGTATAGTGACCAGCAGCCAAGAACATTAACACCGTTTCACGCAATCTAAAAGAGCAATAGAAACCGGAAAACTCCCAGTTTCAGCACTTGAGCTGATGATGTTTATCCTCCAGATACCCCTGAAATAGAAGAATCTTCAATAGCAGATTTGAAAGTAAGAGAGTACTAACACCAAGCAGCAGTACACAATCTGAGTGTAGCAGATTTGTACTTTTAACTACATCTCCAAAACTGACCCCTTCTACGACCAAAGAATGTAAGAACTAGGTTCTCATGCAAACAATACTTTGAATAATACAAACTGTTTGGTCAACCCAAGCCACTTGCAAACCAAAAGCAGCAATGAAATAAACTCTGAACACCAACAATAGCAGTCTGATTATACAGTAATCTAAACCTGTCAACTTTCTTCACAGGCCAAAAAAGGAAAGAACAGCCCTACAATTGATCTTCATAGTCCACACACCTCTAGCAGACAGTTTTGTCTAAAAACAGCTAGGCACCCAGAAACATCACTGATGGATTCCACTTCTTGATATTCTTGTGAAAGATCCATAAACTAAGGTGCAACACTGGCTGAATGGATCTCAAATTGCCAGCACACAACAAACTGGAAACAAGGCCTCTTTATTCCTTAACATTTTAGTCCACCATAGAAGGAAAAGAAATAAAAAACCAGATCTTACCTGATCAGAGTTTCTTCCAATTTGGCTAGTCCCAGACTCCCAGTACTCCAAGAGAGAACAGAGGAGAAGAAGATCCTATAGGTTATGGAAACCAGTGTTGTAAACTTGGACTGGACTGGATGGTTGGACCATGAAAACCAGGAACTGGCAGACATTCTGTATTTTTGGAGTTTTAAAATTCTGAGAAACCAGATGATCCCTGTCAAAAAATGGTGACAACTGTCTGGGTTTCAATGACCTAGCCAATTTTCACTAACCCAAACAGGTAATTAATTTATCAGAAATTATAAAATGACTACAACAATATTTGAATCTCTGACCTCTTCCTTGTGTATAATAACACCTTCCTTGTGCCTGAGGCATTTGGAAGCCCTTGCACCTTTAAAGTGCTGCCCTTGGATTTTCGAATCAATGAGCTCCAATAATCTGTGGAATGCTTCGATCAATTGTCCTGATAGCCCCAAGAGAAATTGTAGAACATGCTCTAGTATGGCACACTTCCCAAAGAAGGTAGGGAGGGACTTCGACTATCTTTTCAAAATTTCTGGATGCTATCCCAGATGGCAGTCACAACGCCATAGTAAATACCTGTATATTTCAATTGTTAAATGCATATTTGTAATTGTCTATTGAAAGCTAATTATGGGAAAATGTGTATAGTTGCTATAAATTTCACTTTGTCATCATTATTCTGAATTATTTCTTTGTATTTGTTCAATCCTATATAGTAGTCCTATTTCAAAAAAAAAAAAATGGAACTTTGTTGTATTTATCAATACATTACCTTCTCAAAAAAAATCCTAAGTAGTAATTTYATTTCCCATGCAGCATGCTGGTGTGCATGATGACAAAGGAGACCCCAAGATTAAGGATCATTATGGCAGCCCACTGACTGCAAGGTATTCACTTTTAAATACTGCCCCTTTCTGAACATTTTTGAGATTCTACAGTACATATTCATTATTTGATTATGCTGTTCGATTGCCACTTGTTCTCACCATATGTTTTATTCTTTTCTTTTGATTCATTTTTTTGCAGTGGAAATACTCAAGATGATATGCTTCTTGTAAAACTTGAATGTGTCTACACTGGGTCTGCCAACCATGGGTCTTCAATGGTATACTTCTTTCCAATTATCACTACTGGTCCCTCTGTATTTTGGAGAAAATAAGCAGCATTTTTGTGCTGCTATGCCGTTAGCCTCTCATTGCTATCTTCTATTTTCTCCAGTTTGTCTTCAACATGGAACAAGGACTTCCTATTTTGCCCGAGTGGTTGTGTTTTAACATAGACTGCCCGTGCTAGAAAGGGTGTTGAAATTGAACCTGCATGTATCCCTTTTAGATATGATATCCTGTATGTTCTTTTTTGTTCATGAGAAGCATTTCAGCTGCAGAACTTGCTCTAAATACGCACAACTGTAAAGAGGTGTGCTGCAATTAAGCTGATATTTGTATGTGGTTGGCTGTGGAGAGATTTCTTTTCCTATGGTGGGTGGCAAGCATAGCCTTCATTTTCTATGCATTTTGGTTTTGGTTGCATTCTTGTGTCTTCTTTATTTCTGGTAGAAATTTTCAACCTTATGGAATAATTATATATCGAGGGATCCTTCTCAAGACTATGGATCTAGAAAGATCATGAAATACACAAAAAGGAAAAGAAAATGGATAGTCTTGTTATTTCACAATCTACAATATCTGTTTGTGAAACTTGTCCTTCTCATGTTCTTATACTCTTTTTTTTTCTTAAACTGTAAAGTAAAATAATTTCATTAATAATCTTAAAACCATACAACTATGAAAACCCCTGTACAAAGAGAAAGCCTATTATCCATATTTCGACTGCTGCTACAGTAGTCCGAATAGGAAGAGGAGAAGAAGAAGAAGAAGAAGAAGAAGAGGAAGAGAAGAAGAGGGGTMAGTYGAAAATCTGATGRWTRACCCATYCAGTCGACCCCCTTAATCTATATTAGCTTCTAATCATGTTTACAAAGACAGAAATGCCCTTACTTAAGTGTGGGGCAGAGTAACTCTAATAACACAGCCA